TCTTGAATGCAGACGATTCTGCTAGTTCCATGACTTTCCGCAAAGCTTTCATTCAGATACGTGACGCGCAACCTTCTGGCAATTCCAATCGTGGATTTCGATGGCTCCTGCTTGGGAGTCATTGAAGCTATCAACAAGCTTGGAGATGGAGGCTGGGACTGTAGCGATGCTCCACTTGTGTCAGGAAGCTCCAGCACCAAGATTCCAGTGAGGAGCTGTCCTTTCGCAGCTTTGCAAGGCAAGGGCTTCGGCCAGGTTGACGAGATTCTCTTGGGGAACCTGGCAGATCAGGCAACCTGCAAGATGCTTGCCAGACTGGCATCCAGATGCAACGCACGGCCGTGTCGTTGCAGGTCTCTGTTGCCTTGCACAACGCAGAGTTTTACAGAGCTGCCATTGTCACTAGCGAGCGTGCAAACGTGCCACAGCTGCAGAAAGCATCAGAGTAGCAAAATCCTCCGCGAGAGCAGCGGACTCATTCCAGGCATGCAAGTTTGTCCATGATGCATTGACAGTCACAAGCAACATCCTGACTGCTGCTGCTCTCTGAAATACGAGGCCTTGCTGCAAATGCTGCAGTCTCTGACGCAAGGTCAGCAAAACCCTGCACACTGCACAACTCGATTCAACACTGCGGGGCGCATGAGCAGGCCTGGGGGCACAATCCTTGATCTTCTCAGCCTGAAGCTCAGACGTGTGCTATCTTGCCGTAAGTGAGCAGAGACCCAGCTTTGGCGTGGATGGAAGGATTCCTCTGAGGGGGACTCGGGAGCAATGACTTTCACTAAACTCAATGTCTTGAGGTTGCAACGCATGCCTCAACGCTGGTTCATGCCGACCGGTGCACAGTTTTCCTTGTGGATGACAGGCCCGAGGATCTCATCACAACATCGGTTCTCGCCAGGTTTGAGCTCGTCGCGGTTTTAAGGGTTATCCTGTCGGATTGCAATGGGTTGGGCTGCTGGGATTGCTGTCGAAGAGCAGGCAATATCCAATGAAGCTGTCTACCGAGCCGTTCAATCGTCGTTGCCCCCAGCCATTCACATCCCTGTTGAGGGCAGGCGAGTTGATCTCCCACACCACGGACTCTGCACAAGAAATTCGGAGTCTTGGTTGCTTCCACGTTCACCTGATCTCAATGCTACTGGAGCCTTTGCGACTGCCTCCGAGCACTTTTACTCTCAGAGCATGGGTGACCCGAATTTGCAGTACTCAGGATTCCAAAAACAGTTGGGATAGCGGGCGAATGCGCAACAGAGAATAAGCTCATCGTGATTGACGACGCGCAGCTTGCCTCGTTTTGTTGGGGGCCTTCGCCTGTGGCTGCCGGCCAACAGTGCACGTTGAAGACTTCTCCTTTACTGGCTTGGCGTCCTTCACTAGTACAGAGCAGTGGGAGTGACATGAGTGAAGCGTGCAGTTGAAGAATCGGCCCAGCCCGATCCTCTGGAAGATCCACCAGGTATGAGGATGCTCGTTTCGACCCAGAGTTTGACCAGCGAAGTGGTGGGTGACTTAGTTTCCCCACCATTGTGGTTGCAATAAATATTATATTGCTTTCACAGTTGAGGCTACCGAACGCACAGCATCATTGCAGTGCCGGTGAAAAGGCCGGCGGCGAAAGACAAAGCCTGCGCCGTCATTCAGATGAATCTCGTCTGGCAATTGGGCCGAGACACGTCGTACTTTATTCGGCTCTGGCCCGAACGGCAGGTCTTCTATCTTTGCACATGTCACAAGCCAACGGCATGCAATTACGCGGAGTTACTCTCCATCCCTGTTGTCGTGTGTCCATTGAGAAAGAGCATGTCCTGAACAAGCAACGGTTGGATGTCCGGCCCCCGGTTCTGAACCTCGAGGTTCGGGGTTGGCTTTGGAGCCTTGGAGCTGCACAGCTCAGCACGGATCCCTTTGCGTGATGGATGTGTAATCGATGTGCAACGTTGACTGGCTGAGGACGTTCGTTCAGAAGCCTTTATGTGTTCAGGGAAATGCACAGCAGCTGGGGCCAACAGGGATGTGTTTGAGATCCCAAACTGGATGTGCAATGGATTGTCAGTGTTCCTGCTGCTTTCAGCAACTTCTTCCACACAGAGTTTGCCGCCGAACCATCATGGCAGGCTGACCGCTGGATGAAAGATGAAGATGATGAATTCGGCTCCTAGATGTGTGTGTGTGTGTGTGTGTCCCTGCTGCCGTTTGCACCGAAGTCTTTCATAGTGTCGTAGCAGCTTTGTCTGTTCTTTGCAGATCTTTGCACCAGTTTTATGGCATGGCGCTAGAGTGCGAGACAATCCATGTCTGGCATGGTCAGGCAAAAGTCAGGTTCGCAGGCATCTTGCACTATATGCCGAATTCCAAGCAGACCTGTCGCCTAGAAGTTCGAATCGGTAACAATCCCGTGCTTCCCAGTTGCCTTGTCGCTGTAGGGGCACTCGCAGGAGAAGAGTTTTGAGCCCTGTTTGCATTTGTGGAAGCACCAGCAACAAGGACACTCGCCAAACACCGTTTGTTGCAGACTCCTTGGACGTTTGACCACTTATCTCTGCTGGGGAGAGGGGGAACACGCATACAGGGCAAAGAAATGCAAAGAAGGACGACGACGGAGAACTCGCAGAATGTCGAGGAAAGCTAGCAGTTTCACGAGGAGAAAGCACATCCACTGGCCTTTAAAGACTTCCAGAAAGGGGAGCAGAATAGGCAGAAATCGGCTCCTAACCAGTTTTAGGCCTTGTCGAAGTCCAATGAGAGACACACACACACACACACACCGGAGCATATATTGAGGATCAATAAGAAGGAGTTTGACGACGAGATTGGCAAGTTCGATGAAGAGGATGTACAGGCTTTCGGCGGCAGACTGTCGACGGTTTTGTGCACGTGCTTTTGTGATGTGCAATGTTTATGCTGGTTGCATGGATACACTGTGAAGGCAGCTGCAGACTCGGCTTGCGTCAGGTCCTCGAGACGTATGCCATGTTCGTGGCTACACAGCTCGCGCAATCGACCCTGGTCACCCGCGCCACTCGGCAAAGGCGGATTCAGAACGGACAGCGTGCGCGGTGTTGGACCGCTTCGGTTCGATTACGCTTGTTTACTGGCTGGGCATGTCACTGTGGCAAGGACTCTTCGAAGGCACGTTGCACCTTTGCTTGCGAAGGTGGTTTCTGACTGTCTTGGCAGCAATCTTGATTCATAATGATCCTGCATGATCCTGCCGATATGCTATGTGAGATACCAGCATGCCAGAAAGAGCAGCAATGCAAGAGGGTGAGGGTGGGTCATATTTCCAGAGTTTGACAACCCAACGACGCGATGCTTATCCTGCGAACCATTGGCCCTGTGCCCCTTCCACTCCTTGATCGGCTAAGCTGGCTTCACGCTGGTCTTGCTCCATGCGTGAACTTGAGTTATTTCTGACCGATTCTCTTCTCGTGGCCTGTGCTTTTGTTTGTTGATGGTCTCGGTGGCTTCTTCCGTTGAATTTCCACCAGATTGGCGGCGGTTGAATTTCCGATGTAATATCAGCAGCTTCCGTGGCATGTGTTGCCATTTTCTAGTCCTGCCATTCACTTTGGCTGCTTTCCACTTCCGGCCTGTATGCGGGTGAGCAGAGGACGTTGTCGGAATCTTTCAGCACGTTTGTGCACAGACTGGAGGGAATCGACAGTACCGCTGGATCTGTTTCTGGCCGTTGCCTCCAATGATAGCCAACTTGCCGTCTCAAGACCATAAGAGCTTGGGGCAGTGATCACGGTCGGTTCGAGCGACTAGCCGCGACATCAGCATTGAGAATGTGCAGGGCCCTGGCAACTACGAGGAGTTCATGGGGCGAGCAGACAGCGACGGGCATAGGCGCCGTGGCTGCAGCAATTTCAAGTCGCAGCACGAGACGGGCAAATTCGATCAACCCACTTGTGCTTGAAGCTCAGAACAGGAAGCTTCTCTTGTTCAAGGTGTATTCTAGGGCCGAGGCTTCGCCCACTTTTGACGGCTTTGATCAGATTGTGGATCAGTAATGTGGCTGGCTTCCCGGTGTTGGAAGGAACGGTGAAGTGATGCGGCGTGGACATGTAGAATACACTATCGTCTACAGAGCAGTTTGAGGACGGAAAACATAAGCCACACATGCCCAGGGAGCGCTCCGGATCCAAGCAGGCCGGTGTGGATTCACTGTCCAAGTCCAAATGTCCAGCCTTTGCAGTGATTATGCTCTAGTTTGGAGGATTTTGCCGGCGCAGGGCTTTTCAAGTCTTCAGTACCAGAACCTGAAAAGGCAGCTTGGCAAGCTCACGACTGGCGTAGGAACAACCTCCCTTCGGTCCTAATGCAGAGCCTGATGAGCTGGGCTCTTCCAGAATGGGATGAGGCCTTTCACTGCCTTTGCACTGAAATTTTTGTGCAGGCACCACTTATGGAAGAAATCCAGGAGGGCGAAGAAGGCGATGACTGAGACAAAGGTTCTCGGTCGAAGCGAAGTTTCACAAGCTTTGCGAAAGGAAAATTAGTTTGCACAGTGCTGGAACAGGCCTTTGTTTCAAGATGAGCTGTGCGGTCTATATTTATATGTATATATATATATATATATATCAAAGAGAAGGTGCTGCAGCCTTCTCGTGGCTCAAGCAGGGCAAGACGACTTTGCTGCACAAGTTTAACAGGAATATAGTCACAAATTAACCGGTGCAATAGCAGCTGCTGGACAAGGTATGTTGTGCGAGCTCGATGTTTGCGGGAATATGGAGGTGAGAGATGAAATGGCCGCCGAAAACGGAATAATCCCAAGTAATCGCGAAGATAAGATGAACGACCCAACGAAAGAAGGAGCCTAGGCTGCCAGCACAAGTTCGTACTTTCTCCAGACATACACTTTTCGGGTACTGTCTCTGGTGCTCTTCAGCTCCACAAAAAACATTGGTGATGTTCGGACACAGGAGATTGTGGGATGTTTGATCCATACACCACGTTTGCACCGTTCTTGCTCGTTGTAGCATGAAGCAATGTCCATATCTGTGAATGTGGCTTTACTCAGCGGACAACAAATCGTGATTGACGCCACGCCTGATGCTTCAGTCGGTGATCTCAGAAATTCTGTAGAGGAGGAGTTGGGACAAACAGTGGGCCAGCTGGTCGCGTCATCTGGGAAGGTTTTGTCTCGAGCCAGCACAGTGGAAGAAGCTGGTGTGCAAGATGGCGAGACGTTGACAGCTGTCATTTGCAGTGACCGCATCGTTTCGTCTTGCCGATCGAGGGCGTTCGCACTTATCCGGCGCGATGGCTCTGTAGTGACTTGGGGCCATCCAAGTTTCGGAGGTGACAGCAGCAGCGTGCAGCTGCATGATGTGAAGGATATTCAAGCATCTCATGGAGCATTTGCTGCAATTCTTTCTGATGGGTCGGTGGAAACTTGGGGACATGCCTTTTTCGGCGGAAGCACAGCTCGAGTGCAAACGCAATTGCTCAACGTAGTCAAGATCGCGGCATGCTTTTGTGCCTTTGCAGCCATTCTGGCAGACGGGTCTGTTGTAACGTGGGGATACCCTGAGGTAGGTGGCGACAGCTCTTCAGTGAAGGACCATCTGAAAGGGGTTCGCGAGATCACCGCCTCAAACGGAGCGTTTGCAGCACTTCTTTCAGCTGGTTCAGTAGTCACCTGGGGAAATGCTGATCTGGGTGGTGATAGCACGAATGCCCAGCACCGACTTCAAAACATCCGAGAGATTCGAGCTTCTGGGGGCGCTTTCGCTGCAATCACGACGGAAGGTTCCGTTGTGACCTGGGGCTCCCCGAATCATGGGGGATCCGCAGACTTGGTCCAACCACAGTTGACAACTGTACAGACCATCCAAGCGACAAACGATGCTTTTGCGGCAGTTCTGGCAGATGGATCTGTGGTGACCTGGGGTGATCGGGTTCACGGAGGGGACAGCCGGGAAGTCCAACATCAGTTGAAGAATGTGCAGCAGCTTGAGGCTTCTGGCGGTGCTTTTGCAGCCGTACTGGGCGACGGATCTGTCGTGACTTGGGGTGATGCCGACGCGGGTGCTGATTCATCCGAGGTACAAGCATCACTCCATGAAGTTCGCCAGATCAGGGCTTCACGCTATGCATTCGCAGCGGTTTGTGGCGATGGGTCCGTCGTGACCTGGGGCAACCCAGAGCATGGTGGTGACAGTAGCGGAGTGCAGCACCAATTGAAAGATGTGCTGCAAGTTGAAGCCTCCCAGCGTGCGTTTGCAGCGTTGCTAGCAGACGGATCTGTGGTCTCTTGGGGAAATTCAGCGTTTGGTGGTGGTGGTATCCCCGGCCATTTGGGAGATACCGAAGCATTCCGAGAGACGTGGGAGGTACCGGCTTGATCGTCTTCCGTCACCGGTACTGGAGAGATGTCCTCGGCGTCTGTGCCCCAATTTTGCATTTCCGAGCAGAGTCTGACGCCAAAGCCAAGATTCGGGCGATCGAAGTGAGAAGCCCTCGGTCTTCGATCTCACTGCACTTCGCTGCACTTCCCGTCGCTGCTCTTGCGCGAAGCCATGAAGCCAGCTCTTACCACTGACGTCTTCACGGCAGCAAGTGCACAAGGCGAGCAGCTGCAAGCAGCACGCCTCATCGACGCCAGGGCCTCCAGCCCTGCTTCATCCTGGACGAGGGAGGACAACGCCAGCACCAAAGACATCCCGAGACCCGCACAGACGTGCGTGCAGCTTCTACTTGTAGTCTCTGACAGAGCTCCTGTCGGCCAGAATACAAGCAGACATGCGACACGGAGGTAAAATGAAAAACACCTGAATCCGGAAGCCGTTCTGAGCGAAGCCGATAGACAATCCGGTTATTTCAAATTCTGCCGGTCGCACTGAGGTGTCTTTGCTAGTAAAGAGTAAGTAAGTCCTTGGTAAGTAATAAGGAATATCTGGTTCAGAACCGACTGAGTTGCAGTTTCCCCGCCCAACTGTTGGTTTTTTCAAGGACACGGAGAAAATCATGGTTATTCAGGGCACCCGCCGCAGATCCGTTCTCACGGCCTGCACCAATGCTCGGGCGTTCTGGTTTCAAGCGTTATCGTGTTCCGCCGGAGTGTCTGGCACGGGCTGGCAAAGGCAGGGCGAGACTCAGAGAGAGAGAGAGAGAGAGAGAGTCCCTAGCCCTGACGAAAGAAAGAGAGAGAGAGAGAGAGAGGACGCGCGCGGCGTACGGGGGCAACCCCTTGCGCCACAACCCTGGCGAAAGAAAGAGCGAGAGAGAGAGAGAGAGAGAGAGAGAGACAGAGTGACGGCTTCGGAAGACCAGGCAGGTCTCAGGCTGAAGCACCACGGTAGTGCAGTTGTATCGTTACAGATTTGATGGAAGCTGTCACCCCTGCAGCGGCCAAAGCTGCCGTACACACGGCACCTTGAACTTCCAACTGCGGGGGGTACTACTTCATCTTGTCGAAAACATGCCCCAGCTGAGCTAGGGCCTAGAGCAATCTAGAGCACCAGAATAGACTGGTTTGGGAGGTCACAAGCATAGCCTGCAGGCAGATGGGTGGTGTACGTTGCAGTAGATCGTGGGATGAGTTGACATCCGGTGGCTGAAGCGGCACAGGGCTTTTTCTATGCGGGAACGCGAAGGGTCGCCCAGTCCGCCCCTTGGCCTGTGCTCGCCGAGCCAAGCCCCTCGAGCATGGGTGCGCATCGCGCGCGAGGCCGTCGGACCCGAGGGCCAGGTTGTCCGGCAGCAGTGGTTGGCACGCACGTCCGCCCGTAACGTCGACCCAGCCGATCGCCGCCGCCTTGACCTGGCAGTGTACGGCGCTACTCCACTTGGCGAGGCGCTGTGTTGCGACAACACACTTGTGTCGCCTCTGATGCGCGAGGGGCGGCCCCAGCCTAGAGAGAGTGAGAGAGAGAGACAAAAAGAGAGAGAGAGAGAGAGAGCGAGAGAGAGAGAGAGAGAGAGAACAACTGTCCCTTCAAACCCCCGTAACTGATGGGGGGGCCTAATGCCCGGGGGAGCTCGACAGTCCCCTATGCCCTGTGGAAATGGAGAGAGAGAGAGAGAGAGAGAGATGGGGGGAGGAGGAGGAGTTTCCTTGCGCTTCGAGGCCATGGCGGAGGCTGCGAGCCTCATTGAAAAGTATAGAGTTGATGGAGGCCAGGCGAAACTTTATTGCATCCCCCAATCCCTTCTGAACGCCGCCGCAGGCGTCGACCTGTCCAAGGCCGCGGAGATCCACAACAACATTTTGAGCTTCAAGCCCGAGTGGGAGAGCTACGAGGTACCGCGTCTTTGACGGCATGCGCCGTCTGGCACACGGTTGTACCTGTTCACCGTATCGTGGCCAAGCATCCCACCTACTGATTTGTCAATGCACTGCTTCGGATCGGGAGGCCACGAAGAGTTCAGCGCACATACTCAAGCTCATTGAAGCAGATGCGCCAGCATGCGCCTCAACAGTGCGCCGCAGCGGTGCACTCCTGAATTGCATGCTCAGCTTTGCTTGTGGAGGATCCTTTGCTGAGCGTCTTCCTTCGTGTGCTTGCCTAGAAGATGTAGGCCACGTAGGCAAAATTACACGTCATACCTGTGGTGCAGCAACGCTGTTTGCTTGTTTCCGCGGCTGGAAAATCCTCTGTGCCGCTGTTTTCTCAAGCTCGAAGACGTTAATCTGTCTGCGTAGTTGTTTTACAATGTTCTACATATGCATTCTCACTTGTGTTTGTTGTGCTTCGTCTTGGGCTTGTACGACTCATCGACTGCACAGCTTCCGGCAGACGTTGCCAAGTGCATCATACAATTCTTTGTTGTGTTTCGGTTGGGTATCTCCAGCGCCTCGTACGGCGGACAGAAGTTGCTAGGTGTGTTATGAACTGCCCCTGAATGCTTTCGCACTAGTTATCGAGACTTGCTTGCCCTGAGTTTTCTGATGTCGTAGAATTATTACGTCATATCCGTCGCTCGTCCGATTGGTACGACTAGGACGCAGGTGAACATAAGCGAACGCTCCTGGAAGTCTGTATTTATGTGTACCTATTACGGAAATCTCGAGTATTGTCACCATGAAGCGTCACCTTGACTTCAGGCTCCCCGACCCCCTTGAGGGAATGTGACAGCGCAGTGCAAACACCCGCACGCGTGTTGAAGGGCTCAGTGTTTCATAGTGTTTCTTTGACCCTGATCCCTGAGTCTTGAACCCTAAACCCGAAGACGCTCCTTTCAGCATGGTTGGCATTCGTTCCAATGTGCTTACTTTCATTTGGAATGCAAGCCGTAGCTGGAAGTTGAACAACTAAGGAGACTGATGTCTTACGGCTAGGCCCAAGAAATTTCATTTCACATGAACTTTGCATTTCGCTCAGCCATTCGGCGTGATCTAAACTATGATGAAGTTACAGAGCTTGCTTGCACATCGACTTCCTTACGATCATGGGTTCGTGCCAAGCTTTCAAACTGTCTTCGGGACTTGAGTCCTCAGCGCGTACAGCTGCAGTGAGCGCACTGGGCATTCATTGTGTGACTGTGCTGTTGCTTTCCTCGTTGTGTTTGCATTAAGAGCACTCTGCCCACAACGTCTCTCCATGTTTCCTTCACGATCGCTGGTTTTTGCATGTCCAATTGCTCGTCGTGGGCGATGCGGTCTGTTTTGTTTGCAGACTGAGGCCATCAAGAATAAATCCATGATTCAAGGCTCACAGCCCTGCAAGCGGTGTTGCAAGGTGACAGTCGAGGGTGGTTGTTTAGAGTCTTCGCTGGTGTGCATGCTTGGCAGGCCATATACAAGTTCTCCAAGCATGCATGGCGCTGATGGGTTCTCGCTTCTTGGCAACCTGAAATTGAGACTGAGCTTGCGAGGGGTCGCGATTCAAGTCATCAAGCAACTGACAATGACACTATTGAGGAGAAGACAAGCCAATTCAGTGGCTCTTGACCCTGTTCTACGATATGCTGAGAGAAGACAGCAGCGGCCACGTGGCAGAAAGAGCAATTTGGTACCAAAAAGATATTTCGCCGCTCGAAAACCTAGAGTACCAATAGGGCGTGCGGCCACTGTGAACAGCCAGTACCCGAAATTGCTAAGGATACGCCATCTTCGAGGATGCAACAAAGCAACGGATCGAGGTCTTTGACAGGGGTGACTGGAGATAGCGTTTTTGAATCCCCATAGACGTCCAACGACTTTCAGATCACACGCTTAACCCCACTGCTTCGTTGTCAGACTTCACTGGTCTTTGCTGGCTTCGTAGCTTAGACTTAGACTTGTTGTCACGAAGGACAGGCCGGGGAGGCTTCTTGGTTTGCGCATGGCCCGGGTATCTGCCAATGTTCAGAAAGATTCGACTTCTTCCTCGAAGACGTGCAGCTTTGTTGTTTTCGCAGCTGTTGCATAATCTCGCGTTTTCCTGTGAAGATCGTGCAACTTGTTTATTGCTGCACAGATCTACAAGCCTCTTCTGTCGCTGCTCCAGCGGCCGGGCCTGGAGAACTACACTTCCGACAAGGCCGCCGCGCCAAGGTACAGTATCAGCTACCTACCATCGATCATATGCCATCTCCGCATGCATGGTTTGGTGAATGTGTGAACTGAAAGGTGGCATGGCTGCTCTCAGCCGTGATGAGTCACGTGCCGCATGTTGCGACAGAGGCAGTTCACTCGGCCAGCTCAAGTCAAGCCCATGGATTATTGTGGTGGTGACATGAACCTTTCAATGTGTGCCTAGCCTCTCTCTCTGCACTCGCTGGAGCTGTGAGGAATTTGCTCGTGACCGCGCTTAGAGACCATGGCATGAGGTGAATGAGGTGACTGCTGGTCCGTGCCTGTGGACGGCCTAGCAAACTGAAGGCACATCTTTAAGACGAATCTCCACACAACAGGAGCATTGCTGCTAATACTGATTTTGAACTGTGTCGTCGTCTTGAGGTGCCCCCTGGTGCTTGAAATCGACAGCAGTGCCTCACCAGAAAAAGCCAAGCCACCGACAAGCCCGACAATAGGAATTTCGCAACGATGACGCCTGAAACGAAGAAAGCAATTTGAAGCTAACTGGGAAGAACCTCGCTTTGAACTCGCCGAAGCCCTGTTTCAGATCCGCCACATATTACAAGCCCACGGTCGTCGTGGGCGAGACCAGCTGTTCATCACTCTTCAACACCACAGACATCTTATGTATTGGATTAGGTAAGCTTGAACCCCAGATGCAAATACCCTGGAGGCTTCGTCAGCCGGAATCCTTGCACGACCTTCATCTTATCTCTTTCTGCACTTTCCAGCAACAGAGCCACCGAACAACCACACCTGCAAGCTTTCAAGGGCAATTTGCGACAGCATCAGGCGCATGACCAAAAGCTGTCACTCGTCACACTCACAGCAAGCTCAAAGTCTGCTAGGCCTTGCGACGTGTGTGGAACACATGTCTGCTCTGTCAGAACAAGCGCTACCTTGCCACAGACTGAGCATCGAATCGAACCGAAAAGAGGGATGCACAGCAACAGTCCGGGATGGCAGCATGATCAAGCAGAATGCCATAGCATGCAGTCACATGGTGGCAGGCGAGCGTCAAGGAGTTTCTGGGCGAGATCCTTGACTCCTCGAAGACGAATTGCTCAGAACTGGGTCAGCTGGAGGCGGCGCTGCACGTTTCCCGATGTGAAGAGACCAGACCAATTGAGTTCTGAGCGTGCAAGCCTTTTGTACGTGACCTCCCGGCAGGCAATCACAAACTTGCTCAAGGGAGACGTCTACAGAAAGCTTGTTTGGTCCTCTGCAGGAGTCCCGTCGCCAGTGATTGGCTGCGAGTGCAATTCCATTCAAGCCTACAATCGCGAGGAATTCCGGACCGCATCTTCAGGCTCCAGCTGTTTGTCTTTTTGTTGGACATTTCTCGGCATGGACTTGTCAAGTACTTGTGACACTCTCTTAAGGACAAGCGTGGGGTCGCAGAAGCATCGACAAGACAATAAAGCGGTGCAATTCATGTTCCGACTTCAACCTTTCAGCAGATGTGCCGTGCTGTGGTTGGACGGCGGACTCGATACATTCGTGAGAAGCGCAGAAGCTGATTCGGCGAAGATGGTAGGTCGATTGAAGAACCTCAACAGATTGTAAGACGGCACATGGCATCCATCATCGCAACCCCAGCTCAACGGCCTGACATGACGACGTTTGCCGGGCTTTGTGACGCCTTGGCAGCTCAGCGCAGTCCTGGCGACTTCCTGAATCCTGGGATCTGCCGGTAGTTGCCTGTACCGCCCGAACCCAAACCAGGCACTCTTCGCCCTTGTGCCGATCGCACCGACCTCACTTCTCAGCCCAGACCCCCTTGACCCCGCCTGCCCCGCTCCACTGCTCTCCTCCTCAGAGCCGTTGGAACTGGGCTGTGCCCAAAGGCCTTAGAAAAGCGAGGCAGGATTGTGGAGATGTCAAACTCCCGCTCCTTGAATGCAGGATACAGCCCAAATCTTCACCCTCGCCACATCTCTACAAGCCCCTCTGGCCGCAACAAGTGCTCTTTTGCTTGCGGACGCTCCTGCTCTGCATGTGTTTGCACATGTAGCCAGTGTCGAGCGGTCGAGTCCACGTTTCTGTTGGAGTAGGTGTTGTAACACAGGCAAGCTCTGCGAGAACAGCCAAACAAAACTGTAATTTGAATTCTAGTCCAGCCAGTCTGGCTCGTGTGCTGACTGGGGTGCTGCGAAACATGAACAAAGTTCGTGGAACGGCGAGGGGTTCTGCAGCAATCTAGAATCTAGCTTGGAAGTGGTGCGGCGGGCACTCAAGCCAGGCTTCTGAGCCGTCAACATACTCGGAAGCAGCCAACTCCTCAACAGCTCTGCTTCGTTACCCTGTTCTGGCTTTTTCAGCCCGAAACCTGACCTGCTCTTGTTCGTGCAGCATCGCTGTTTGATCCATGAGTCATCGTGCACCTTGCGGTCCGTGAGGCGCACAACGGAGATTAAAATATCACAACATTGAAGTGAGCAAGGTCTGCGAATGTCAGTAATCGCATGTACATGTAATGAAACGCCATGTGTTTCTCATCTTCAATCGAACCATGAGCTTGCACCTGGACGTTTAAGTTTCGCGGCAAGATTGCTTGGAAGGGGGACGAACGCACTGTGTCCTTGACTGCTTCAGATGTCCAGCAGCTTGCTGTCGGAATGGAGAAGCCTAGATCTTGAGGTGCATCTTCGCAATCTGGGCGTTGCTGCTCGACCGACACTTTAATTCTGTCGCAGCCTTCGATGAGTGCGGTCATGCGATGTTTGCTGGAGGTCTTTCGATCCGCAGATTACCAGCGAGATGAAGGCCGATATCGCCCTGTGCCGTGATCAGCATGATGCCTGCACCATGCCGCACAACCTTCATCAACAGCTTCATCTCGCTTGAATTGATTTTGAGGCGCCTGCTCGCCGAAACAGACTCACCGGAACGTTGGTTCGGACAATAAAGGGCGGCAGTGAATGCGACCCAATATGAACATATATGAACAGGGATAGAATCGAGGCCAACCTGACGTGCGCAGCTTTCTCCACCGATCATCCATGTCAGCCATTCGGGAAATGGGGAAGTGTTGCACTTGTCTTTGTTTGGATTTGCCAACAAGTGGGCAGCGAGGGTATAGCTGCGACGTTTGTCGAAAGGAGATGTACGTGATCAAAAAGTTGAAGGAGACCCTCATGTACAGCCGGGTGGAGAAGGCTTTGCAACATCCCTGTGGTCACCATATCTCGCTTGTCGAACATGGTAAAGGTTGTCCGATTGTGCTTGACTGTACTGAAAAACTTCCTCAGCCCGGGTCTCAGTAGACATGACCCAAGCCTGCCACAGCCTGCCTAGTCATGCTGGCCATGCTCCGAGGTCACAAGAGCATGTGCGAGGACATTGTCGAGGAAGGCATTCTAGAGGTGCAGTGCCGTAGAAAATTCCAGAGAATGGCTTAGGTCTTAGTTGGTGTTAGTGTGCTTCGCACCCTATGTCCCGTGCGAACGAGGCCGTGCAGCAGCTAGAGTTCGAGAAATGGCGAGATGCCGAACTCTACGACGACATTAAGGCGAAATGGCAAGACAAGATTGAATCCAAGAGAAGCAGATTAAAATCGTGAGCTCGTGGTCGCCGTCTCACCGTCTCAACGATGCAAACCTAATTCCTGCACCCGTTGCACAGGAGATGGCGATACAGATTGGCTCTGAGGCGCATGGAACCGTGTGTGTGTGTGTGTATACACATACATACATACA